TGGGGGCGGGGGGGGAGGGTGGCAGTCCCACACCCTTAGCGCCTGGGACAGCCACTGAACTGGCTCTTTGTGGGGGGGGAGGTGCAGCCTTTCCCCGGCCTCTACAGCTTCCTGCCAGTCAACAGGCTCTGTCCGAGCTTTGCCTCCAACTGCTGATTCTCTGAGCCTCAGTTTCCCCTTACAACACCTGCTTCTCATTGAGGGTGGTGAGGGCCACCCAGGCAGTCTTGGAGCACAGCCTGGCATATGGGGAACTTAGCACACGAGGAACACTTGACCCCTAGTACCCTCTCCCCATTCCGAGCTTTGGGGCCTCCCCACCCTCCCCCGTAGTCCCCGCCACACGGGGTCAGGCACGCACAAAGCGTTCTCACCCTGTTGGCAGATGTCGACACACAGGGTGACAACCTGACCGGTGTGGGCTGGGTGTGAGTGTGCAGGGTGGGCTGGACCTGGGGCTCCTGCCGTGTCCACCTGCTGAGTGTAAATGGTTTCAATTTTTACAGATGAAACAAGCATAAGGAAACTTCTGTGTAGTCTCTTAGAGCTAATATGTTGTATCAATTGCCTGAATAGCTTACAGGGTGCCCCAGGAAACAAACAAAACAAACATGGTGTAAACCCAGAGTTTTAAGATGTAAACCTGCACATTCCAGGCCGTGGGCACATCCCGGCTTTAGGAACGTCACACCCCAGAATCTTTCGGTCTCCGATGGGATGGGACAGACATTCCTAGGCATAGCTGGGTCACGGGTCCCCCGACATCCCCAAGCTGTGCCCACGTCCCTAGCCCCAGCGTGTGGCTGTGCCCTGCCCCTGCTCACTGCTCCCCTCTCCCTTCCCTACAGATGTTCCCGCTGCCTGCAGCCAACGGGAAAGGCCGGCCTGCCTCCCTGGCCAGTGCCCAGTTTGGAGGTTCAGGTAGGACCATGGTTTCCTTCCCAGGAAAAGACCGGTGCCTGGGGAGGGTCTGCTGAAGATGGAGCCTGGGATGCAGGTGCTGCGTCAGGGCCCAGGGGACTGGAGGGGGTGGGGCAGGGCTCCAGAGGAAGGAGGGTGTGGGGGGCGGTGGGTTTGGGCATACATTTGTGGAAGTGGGATGCAGCAACCTGAAAACCCTGAGAATCAGCTGTTCATTTGCATGGCCTGACAGAGGGAGACCCGTGGTGGACAGCGCCCAGGGGGCTGCATGGCATCCCCCGTCCTGCCCTGTGCCTGGCATCTGGGCTCCTAGCCTGGGGTTGGGGGCTGGGTAGGAATCTTAGGACCAGGGGAGGGGACTGGGCCATGTGTGGATGGAGGGGGAGCTCAAGCCTTTGTGTCTCCTGCCCATCCACAAGGGGAAACTGAGGCTCAGAAGGGATGTGGTATGGAACCCCAGCACTCACCAAAGCCTACCTGCCTTGTAAGCCCCTAGCGAGGCCCAGCTTTCCTGACTGTTTTCATTCAAGTGTGAATGAGGTACTTACTGTATACAGGACCCAGCACTGGGGTAACCAGCCATTCTGGTTTGCCCAGGACTGAGAGAGATTCTTGCAGTCTGGGATTTTGAGTGCTAAAGCCGGAAACATTCTAGGCAGACCTTGACACATGGGTCATCCTGCCCGATGGCATGGGGTGGTCAGGACAGCTGAGGGGACTGAGAATTATGTAACGGAAGGATGTCAGGGTTTTGAGGAGCATACAGTGGGGTCAGGTGGCAGAGCTTGGAGGAGGGACTGCCACAGAGCTAGGGGAGACATTTAAGCAGAGACCTGAGGGAGGGGAGCCATGCGAGTGTGAGGGGAGGGTGTTCCAGGCATAAGGAACAGCACATGCAAAGGCCCTGAGGCAGGACCGGGCCTGGAGTGTTGAGAGAGGCCTGTGTGGCCAGAGGTGAGGACAGGGATGGGACAGGCAGGTCGTGCAGGGCCTCATGGGCCTTGGTCGGGTCATTGTTCCAAAGGCAGTTGGGAGCCATGGATTTGCTGGGGAGGCTGGGGTCGACGGGTCCTGATGACTAGTTTAGAGTCTTGAAAAGCTTCCTACTCTTCCCGGACTTTGTCCACTTTCTCGGGGTTTCAGGATTGGGGCCTGTTTGGCTGTGTCCTCCCTGTCTCTTGGTCAGACGTAGAAAGTTCAGTCTGGCAGTTGTCTCTAAAACCCACGGGGGTGACCAGTGGGCTCTGGCTGGAGGAGGAGGGGGCTTGAGGGGTGGGCGGAGGTGGTTGGTGCCTACCCATGCTCACCCCACAGGGAGGGACCTCATGTTTCTGCCCTCACGGCTGCATGCTGGCCTTCCCCTCTGCCTGAGGAAGTGACCACGGGGCTGGCCGGAATGTGCCTGAGGCATGGAAATCCCCCAGGCCACTCCCTGTCACACCGGAAACAGCCCCCAGGAACTGGAGGTGATGCCACTCCCCTGCCTTGGGCAGACAGGCCCCAGGGGCTTCCTGGAGGAGGTGGCAAAGACACAGCCGCTATCCACTCTCCCAGACCTCTGGCGGGGAGGGTGGGGTCGGAGGCATCTTCCCTCATCCATGGTCCTCTCTCACCCTCCCAGCCCTTGCTCAGTCCCATCTCAGCCCCGAGTGGACAAATCCATGGATGTCTGGGCCTCTCGGCCACAGGGAACGTTCCTTCTCGATCCCCCCTGCCCAGCCCCGCGTCTCCCTGGACACCTAGCCTGGCCTGAGCAGGAACCCTGCAAACACTCGCAGATGGATTCTCTATGATTGTCAGCAGCCTCGTCCTGCTCTCTGGCCCTGCCCTGACCGCCTCAAATGGGGAGGGGCTTGACTTCCCCGCCACCATGCATCAGGGCAGAGTTTTAGGGGACCAGCATGTTGCATTTCTGGCCCTTGGGTGGTATGATGTGGTTGGTGGAGCCTGGGAGCCCCCCATACTGGCCACATAGCTGGGCGACCCTCCTCCCCAGGTACAGTTCAGGAGTTGGCTCCCGCCTGCATTCTGGGGGCAGCACAGAGCTGGGAGCCACGAAACCCAAGCTGGAGGCACCAGGGAGCTGTGTCACCTGTATCAGGCAACGTGACTTTTCTGAAATCCAGTTGCCTTATCTGTGAAACGGCATCTGCCCCATCTGCGGAGGATTCGGGGAGTCCATGTTGTGATAGGGCTTTGTGAGCTGTAAGGTATGATGCACATCTCAGCAAAGTCCTCTCCCCCTGACCCCCACATTGAGCTCATGGGAAAAAGATCACAGGCCCAGGGGTCACAGCAACTGGGACCAGCCCATGTTGGGGGTCTCTCAGCTCTGGGCTCATTTCCCTGCTGCTGCCGCCTCCTCCATGGAACTGAGGACCTCAAGAACAGAGGAGTTTGTGCTCCATGAGCAGGAGGGGCAGCCCCGGAGCTGTGTGACCGAGGAAGTCGCTCCCCTTTCCAAGCCTCGGATTCTTTCATCAGAAAGACAGGACACCTTCCTTCTAGACCGGGCCAGGTCAGCTTAAGGGACCACCATGGTTTGTCAAGAGTCCCTAAATGCTAGTGGGTCCTGCCAGCCACTTCATGTACCGTGGTGTAGCATTTATTTAGTATCCCGTTAAATCAGTTAAAGTTGGTTTTGAAAGCAGCCTGGGCCAGAATGGAAGGTGTCCCTAAAAGTAAGTCACATTGAAGAGTCTCCCTCGTCATGGTTTTTTAAAAGAATTGTTGTTAAGAAAGGCATTAGAGGCAAATTAATGGGAGGCCAAGATTTCCTGGTTATCAGGATTGGAAGTCATTTAAAAAGAGAAGTTTTTCTCTTCCTTTCAACCCCCATTTTGGGAAGCCCTCAAGCACAGATCTCTAAATGACAACTCATCTTCAGCCAAAAAATACAGCATCAGAGGCCACAAAAGACATCAGGAAACGCTGTTGACAGACCAAAGGAAATTTTTTCCTGTCTTTAATTTTTCTGTCGCTTTCTCGGTTTGTGTAATTGTCAATGCAACACGCGCTCAGAGTGAAAATCTAGCACTAGGTAAGACTGTTCCACATTTTGTTTCTAGAGAGGACCCTGGATTAACACAGGTGTGTGGGATGATTTCTTCAGGGCAAATTTCTAGAATTGCGGAGTCTGTGGATGTGTTTTCACATTGAAAATGTCCCTCGGGGCCAGCCCGGTGGCTCACTCGGGAGAGTGCGGTGCTGATAACACCAAGGCCCCGGGTTCGGATCCCATATAGGGATGGCCAGTTCGCTCACTGGCTGGGTGTGGTGCTGACAACACCAAGTCAAGGGTTAAGATCCCCTTACCGGTCATCTTTTTTAAAAAAAAAAAAAAAAGAAAGAAAATGTCCCTCGGAGGGCTGGCCCGTGGCTCACTTGGGAGAGCGTGGTGCTGACATCACCGAGTCAAGGGTTAAGATCCCCTTACCGGTCATCTTTTTAAAAAAAAAAAAAAAGAAAGAAAATGTCTCTCCATTTCCCCGCCTCTGAGCAGCATGGGGACCCTTTTAATATCTTCCCTTTTGGTAGGTGAGAGATGATGTCCTTTTAACTGGTGTTCACTTGACTAATAGAGGGTGATTATTTTTTCAGATGTTGATTGGTCATGTGAATTCTTTTTCGGTGAATATTCCGTGAGTCTCTTGATCCCTATTTTTGGTGTTTTTAACTTGGGCTAACTGTTAACTTTGAAGTCATGGTAGATGCTTGTACAGGGAGGTTCCAGGCAGCCCTGGTGGTAACACCCTGCATGTCCACAGTACAGTGTCAAGTGCAGGCAACGGACATTGGTACAGTCTGCATAGTTCACACAGATGTCACTGGTGTGGGGTGCACATGCTGTGTGTAGAGTTCTACACAGTTTTGTCCCGTGTGTGGAGTCATATGACGGCCACACTCTCTAGATGGAGAACATCAGCCCTGTGATCTTTCTTCCCCACCATCCCTACCCCTGGAACCACTAGTCTGTTCTCCATGTATACAACTTGTCATCTTAAGATTCCATCTTAGATGGAGTCATATAGTATGCCAACCTTCTGAGATTGGCTTTTTCCACTCAGCGTAACTCCCTGGAGACCCATCAAAGCTGTTAGTATCGATAGTTTGTTCCTTTTTATTGCTGTGTGATCAACTTTTCAACAGCAGCAATGATACCAACGACAGCTTACGTTGCCATGTCTTAACACCAAGCTTGGGTTATTTACTGGGAGTTCTCAGTCCTCAAATGTCAATGGAATAGGTGTGGTTGTTATCCCCATTTTACTGAGAAAGAAGCTGAAAATCAGTAACCATCCCCACTGACTATCTAGAACAGATCAAACATTCCCAATTTGAAAATCCAAAATGTTCCAAGATCCAGAACTTTTTTTTTTTTTTTTTTCCTTTTTTTTGGCTTTTTTCGTGTCCGGCAATGGACCACAACCCTCAGTGTCACGCCTGTACCGGACCGGGACCGGCAATGGGATCGCAACCCTCGGTGCTGCGCCCGCCCCTCGCTCAGCCAGTGAGCAGGAACCGGTCTGTATGTGGGATCCGAACCCTTGGCGGGAGCGCCGCCGCGCTCCCAAGCGGCGCACTGTAGCAGTGCACCACCGGGCCGGCCCCAAGATCCAGAACTTTTTGAGAGCCTACATGACACTTAAAGGAGCATTCTGGATTCCAGATTTTCAGGTGAGGGATGCTCAACCCATTAAGTATTTGCAAATATTCCAAAGTCTGAAATCCAAAATACTTCTGGTCCCAAGCATTTCAGTTAATGGATCCTCCGCCTGTACTGCCTGCCTGTAATGTCCTTATATCCCCTATACTGCTCTTGTTGATTTGTAAACACTCTTTTTTTTTTTTCTTTTTTCGTGACCGGCAACGGATCGCAGCCCTCAGTGTCACGCCCATACCGGACTGGGACCGGCAACGGGATCGCAACCCTCGGTGTTGCACCCGCACCTTGCTCAGCCAGTGAGCGGCCGGTCTGTACATGGGATCTGAACCCTCGT